AGTGAGAAATAAGTAACCTTTGTCAGCTCAATGTAATCCGACACGCCTTACACCTCCCCTTCTGTTTCTTTCTTTCCTCTTGCCAATTTTCTTAAATACGCAATTAGGACATTTCATATAATTGGTAGTTCAACTAAATACTGTCTGTAGTTTACACGAGTTGTATACATTTAAAAACACTTTAACGGTTTAAAACGCGATATATATTAGTTAAACTTGTTTGATAATTATTTAAAATACATAGCCTGACTTCTGACATTTAATGTTCATATTTCGCTTAAATTGTTATCTGTAGCTTATTGTATGCGTGATTCTTCTTTTACTATGTTCAGTTATTAATTTCGTTTTTGGTGGTCACTCTAGGTGTCTATTGTTGTCCTTATAAATCGGGCTTGAAGTAACAGCTGAGAAATATCTTTAAAAAAAGGTTAAAAAGGTTATTTTTGGATAAATGCCATCCCTGGAGAATAAAATTAAAATAGCTATGGTCTTAGTGTTAGTTCTATTTTATTTTTAGGATCTGTCACACTAACTTTTTCGTAATATTTAAACAGTTTTTTTCACGAAATTACAACGCGTTACAATAGTAATCAAACATTAGGAGAACTAATTTGTGATCACGGCTGCTGCAAAGCATCCGAAACGTCGGGCCGAAGTTAAAAATTATATTCAAATAAGTAACTAATATATCGCGTTTTAAACCGTTAAAGTGTTTTATTTAAACTAATTTGTGGAAAACATTTGACTACTTAGATAGTGAACAAAGCAATCGGAATTTCCGAAAACAAACAATATTATTTACGAGATTTAGACGACATTAGAGTATTATCATCACCAATCGTCCTTTAAAAACCGTAGAATAAAATGATAATTAACCTCTTATTATAGTAATAACTCTATTTTAATAATTATTTGTGTTTCACTAAAACAATAAAACGTACAAAAATAACTTTTTAAAAGATCAGTCTACGTCTAGTAATAGAGAGGCAATTTGGCTTAAAAGTATCTTTAACAGACCATAAAATATTAATAACAATAAAAATGGAGACTGGCTATCGACAAAAATATGATTTTTATTCTCAAAAGTTTTTATAGTAGTAGTACTACTATTATTATTAAAGTATCAGTAATTAATATGATATTAGTATTAATAATAGTAATTCGTTAAGTTAGTGAGAAATGAATTTAAGTAAATTAAAATTACGCGAATCGCCAATGAGCGTTTTATTTTCGTTCGGAAACCGTTTGTGGGATAAATGGCGCGAAAACGCCATTGACGTAATGGCGTCCTGTCAAATGCACCGCGTTTCGGGTCGTTGGAGGGTGCTCGAGTGTTTGGTGCATCGTGATTTATAACTATTTTTCAATAAGTTCTGTTGTTGAGAAATGCAATATTTATTTTCGTGATCTTTATCTGTGGTTTTACGGGCTCACTTGGTCTCTTGGCACTTCTTCTTCTTGAAATTTTTTATTATTTTTCACATGTTATTACACAAGACGGAAAAAAACAAATCGATGACAATACTGTCTGGAGTTTACGCGAGTAATACACATTTAAATAAAACAACTTTAACGATTTAAAACGCGAAATATATGAGTTATTACCAATTTATGACAGCAGCCGTGGTCACCATGGCCCGTTAAAAGTGTTTTAATTAAATGTATAACACTCGCGTAAACTACAGACAATGGTTATCTCTGTGTTTCTAGATCTTATAATAAGTAAATACAAGAAGCTGGGTGGACCTTTCAAGTCGAAGTCCTTCCTTCATAGACTAAAAAGCTAATTAACAGTAAAAACATATGTTTGCTTCCACTTAAACCATTTTTATGAATAAGGTTCTGATCGTATTGTAACCTTTTTTCAATAAAACGTCACGTGAGAAGGATATTTTCGCGCGCTTTACGAGGAGAGATATTAGGAAAGGTATATTAAAAGAATGTGCCGAATTTTAATGTCGGCTGCAATGAACCTTTATTGTAATACATAAATGGTTTTAATCATACTAGCTTTTACCCACAACGTCCGCCGAGTCCCGTCGTTGTTATAATCACAAAAAAATTTAAGATATAGTGTCGCGGAGACTTTTCTATCATTTAAAGGGGAATCATTCTTTCATACTTTTTGGTTGCTCGAACCGTTTCCGCAGCGCACTTAAAGGAAAGAAGAATATTTTTGCCCGTATTTACCTTTTACGCTGTGACTTCGCTCTTATTTGCCGCAACGTGATGTTACATAGCCTAAAGCCTTCACCGATAAGTGATCTATCCTACGAGAACTATTTTCTTAATTCTAACCAATATTTCCTTAGATAAGCGCGTTTAAATAAATCATACCTAACAAACATAGACTATTTATCGAGGAAGTAAAAGGTTTCAATCACCAAAACCAAATGTAGGTATACAGAATTATTCTCCTTGAAATGATTTAAAAATTTTAGTATAATATAATATGTCAAAAAAAAAACTGTAGCGTTTTTTTAAAATACGCACTACTCGCGTAACATACAGACAGACGATTTATGTCTAAAAATTGTCTGCGCAGTCTATCTGTTAAAATCGTCGTACGAAGAACGGGACGCGGCGACATCGTCGATAACAGCTATAGCTTATAAAGATTATGAGATTGTCTGCGGAAACAAATTCTTATGTCCAAAGTAACAATTCTACGCTGACAATGTTGCAGGCACAGCTAGTATGTCAAATATGTTATGATAAATAGCAAACATAAATAAGAATTAGTGTTTTTCCGCAATTTTAACACTTAATAAAACAAAATGGCCGCTCCAATTTTACAGCACTTACGTTAAAAGTTTCATGAAACAGGAATGCGATGGTGAAATCAGAAACGCTGACTAAAAACCCGATAAAGTGTCAATAAAACGGGCGAAGTAACATTTGATGGTTCTAGAGACATTTGTTTTAGTGTTGCCATATATGGGGCGATAAAATACGTTATTTATGATGTAAATTTTGGGAGACCATGGAATTTGTAGCTTTGGCTAGTATGTACTATAAGTAATACAAGTTTATATCTTTTAAATGTAAACGACGTGCTCAAGATATTAAGACCTAGTAGACCCCAAAAAAGACCGGTAACCGAGAAGACACCGTGAGTCTGTAAGGACCCTAGTAGTTTCTCCAAATACCAACTACGATGAAACAGATGGCGCTAGCGTAGCAAATTTGACTTTGACATTAGGGACACCCCATCTTCAGTCACCCGTATTCACGGTTGCTGCAAAGCACTCGAAACGTTGGGCCGTAGTTAAAATAAATAAAAAAATAGTTCTGTGATATATTTCACGTTTTGAACCATTAAGTGTTTTATTTCAATGTGTGTACTTGTGTAAACTACAAACAATACTTAGGTATTTATCATTAATGACGAGCACGTTGGTGATGTAAATGAACGGATCGCAAGTTTGATTCAGCAAGATTTAGCAAAAACCTACGAAAATTATAAAGATGACGAGGAGTTATGCAAAAACAATTTTTGACGCCCGAAATAAATATCGATATGGATATAAAGAATAGTTATCTATTCTACGCGAAGACACTGGCACAGCTAATAAATAATAAGATGTCCAAAATAACTATTTCACGTGGACGGCAAAAGCAGCTTTACCAGGTCAGCAATAATAAAATACTGTCTATAGTTTACGCGAGAAGTACACATTTAATAAAACACTTTAACGTTTAAAACGCGATATATTAGTTAAACTTATGATTTTTAACTTCGGCCCGACGTTTCGAGTGCTTTGAAACCGTTAAAGTTCTTATTTAAATCAACAATAATAAGTTAAAGTTTTAGAAATCAAGCGATACGAATCAACTTAAACGGAACTTACTTAAGTATATTAGCATAAGTGGTATGCAGCTAAAAGTTGCATTACCAATAAGGGATTTAAACCTTAAGTAAAACAACTTTCATAGGTACATGCCATAAATTACATTCTTCATGTACTTGGAACAAGAACTTACTTAATAGAGAAAATTGCCTGGGTTCGTTAGTGTTTTGGTAGCAATGGATTGTATTTTTGTGTATTATTTTATGTGTGTGTGTGTGGTGGATTAAATGATTTGATTTGAATTGTTAGTTCGATCCCCACCGGGTTCAACATTTTGCTAAACGCTTCATAATCTTTCTGTCAGGCAACAGTAATAGAAGGGGGGTTTCCCCCCCCCCCCCCAATTAAAAAAAAAAAAATTTTTTTTTTTTAATTATAATTTTTTTTTTAAAAAAAAAAAATATTGGAAGGGAAAAGGAAAAAAAAAAAAAAAACCCCCCCCCTATAGTGCTTACGTAATACTTGAACGGTCCCTTGGACCTGGAAATCTGGTTGTTAACTGGGTGGTAGGTATATCCGAATTCGTCCGCTTTACGGACCACCGTCTACAGATGAAAAGCCAAGTCAAGTATAATTGCGTTTCGGTTCTAGTCTGTAGATTTCCAAATATCCAAAGCGCTAACTCACCATTATCTGGATGTGGTTATAAATGAGTTTAGTGATTTAATTGATACACACCTGGATTCAAACAGAAAACTTTGCAACCTGCTATTTTCAGCCCCCAGTTTAATTTATGCTCTGTATTTGAACCTTAAGTGCATATTTTTAGTAATATTATTGTATATCTTAGTAATTACCATTTTTTGCACAATTTAGTCCGTACTATTGTCTTCATTTTCATGTACGTAATTTAGTCCGTACTCTGTCAATATATTGACGTTTTTTACACGTTAAGTGTCTTATTTATTATGTATACTCGGTAACTTGACATTGAATTGCGATAAAACATCGACATTCCTTAATGAAAAGAAATTGTTATATTAGAAAGCGCTTTTGTTTTTTGTATTGTGATTTTTCCCTTGATTTTTAACTGATGTGACGTTCATAGAAATGTTACTAGGTTACATATGTGAATTATTTATTTTTGACATTTGACTTATTGGCTTTATAATCTTTATCTATATTAACACATCCTAATTATAATTTCAGGTTTCGAGCATGCTTGAAGCTAGCTGACACATCTGTTTCCAATATGGTCGGAAAACTCTTCTTCAACGTGGTGCAAACCAAGTGCTTCGTCCTCAAGCCGATAAAAGCCTGCAAGCAGCGGTCGTGGTGGGGGAAGTGTCTTCGTAAGGGATACATGCGACAAGCCTTTTTAAGAGACAACTTGCCGTATTGAAAGAACTGCGATTTTTTAGGTCAAAATTAGGTTTAGACGAACGGGATAGGTCTAACATAAAACTACGATCGCCTTTGTTTTTGGACTTTCGGGAAATCGTTCCGTGAATATTTATGTGTTGCGATAACTTATTTTTTGTATTGTTGTTCAGTTTTAAGTAGTGTTATTGTCTACTTTGTCTAAAATAGGTGATAGTATCGGATAGATATTTTGTTTTTACAACGCGATTATATGAGAGTTATAATATTACATACACAATATACCCATAAGTAAAGAGGTTTACAGTAAAGAAAATCGATACTGAAAAAAATTTCTACTAGGCGTATTAAATTTATTTCACTATCGATTTTCTCATTGATTTATCTAAATATTTTCTATTTGAATTAAAAAAATTGATTTTAGAATGAAACAAATTTACGACACCGGCATCCACGGTTTTTTGTGCTACTCTAACCGTTTGAACTACCGTGTCCTACACATGTTCGTCGAATTTTAACGTACATGCACCTTTCGCGCAATTCTATATAAAATACTGTCTATAGTTTACGCGAGTAGTACACATTTAAATAAAACACTAACGGTTTAAAACGCGATATATTAGTTAAACTTATTTGAAAATGATTTTTAACTTCGGCCCGACGTGTCGGATGCTTTTCAGCAGCCGTGGTCACGGGGAGACTAAAGATGGAGGATGTCTCTGACGTCAAAGTAAAAATTCTTTAGTCGGGCCGAAGTTAAGAATCCATTTCAAATTAGTTTAACTAATATATCGCGTTTTAAACCGTTAAAGTGTTTTACTTAAATTCTACATAATATAATTTATGTCAAATAATGTAAGATCAATGAGAATGACACACAAAAATATAAATTCACACACAATTAACATTACACTAAATAAATCGTTATTAGCGTGCGTGCGTTATAATTGTCATCCTATATTAGACAACAATGTACATATATCACCATTTACAGAGCATTTTGGCGCTTTCACAAAAAATATAAAGCCATTACATAATATTTATGAGATACACAATCTAATAAATTGTATGTAATCACCAATTACTAAATTATAAGTACATATAACAATTTAATACGCTGCAAAACGTTTTTGAAGATTTTGTAAAATCTTTCTTCGATTGAACAATACAACAGTTGAACTCTATCGGGGATATCGATATTTGGATTTGCCATTTTCAGCGTATATTTATTGATAAATCACCAAAGTGAGTTAGTAGAGCGTTGTCTCTTTCCCACACTCCATAAAGAACAAGGACACAAACGGGCCAGTGTGCGTGATTCTTCTATTCCCTACTAACTCGTTCTGGTGATTAGATTAGTTGGTGAGCGAATATTAGTAAATTGCTATGAAATACAGGTGTCGATTAAATAGATGTAGTTACTAAATACCGTTGTAGCTATTATAAACTAAGGTAGTCAGTGCACAAAGTTAAGAATAATTATTGTAACATGTGGATGGTTTCAATTAAACACGTTTAAAACGCGCAATATAAATCCAAATTGTGGGTTATAAATCAATTAAGTGATAATTATTCCCATTTTTCAATGTAGTGTTTTATTTAAGAAAATTTACTGAAGGCCCAATATTGAAGTAGTGTAAGAACAAATTGTACTTATAGATCAAAGCATAGATTGTTGCAGTAGTATACATTACTTTTAGTAGTAGAACAAAATCTGACTAAATTAAAAAGTTATATAGGTATGGAATGGTGTCTTACTGACTTAACGGTCAGCGAGTGGATTCGAAACTCGGCGAAAATTTGTTTCGTTTAGAGGAGTTACTTACTACGTTTGTAAATAAAGTTTGTGTAGAGTTTTATTTACTCGATAAAACTAATTAACAGTTTTAAATCTGTAATTATAACAGGTTAATATTAATCTTTACTATTTGTGCGAAATTCTTGGGTTTGATTAGCGGACACAGAAAAGTGTCTGCCACGTGCTCTGAAACGGCATTTCAAATGGACTATAAGGCAGAAACAATGTAAATATGTTAATTATACATACTTACGCTATTATGGTTTGAAATTCGTCTCAATTTTGAGATTTGTAAAATACATTTCATCAACGTTCCTAGCTAATTTAAAAAATATATTATATTAATAGTGATAAGTATGTGAATATGTGTTTTAAAGGAAACGGTTTTTCTCATCATGAAACTTAATGACATTTAATTTGTAGATAAAGAAATAGGAAAGATTGTGTATAGATACTGTCTATAGTTTACGCGAGTAGTACACATTTAAATAAAACACTTTAACGGTCTAAAACGCGATATATTAGTTAAACTTATTTGAAAATGATTTTTAACTTCGGCCCGACGTTTCGGAGGCTTTGCAGCAGCCGTGGTCACGGGGAGACGTCGGGCCGAAGTTAAAGATCATTTTCAAATAAGTTTAACTAATATATCGCGTTTTAAACCGTTAAAGTGTTTTATTTAAAAAAAAAAGATTGTGTATAGCTTTTTCGTGATAGAGGAGAACAGATATGGGGTTCGCTTGATGCAAGGTGAAATTCCCAGCCATATAACATCTCAACAAGATGCGCGGCCGGTCTATTTTGGTTTTGGATATTCGGAAATCCGGGCTGTAATCGAAACGGGAATAAACCTTACGGCTTCTCTGTGGGCGGTGGTTCGTGACTCGACAATGTTCATAATCCTACCATCCGTTTAATATCCGGATTTCCAATGTCCAACTAGTTTCAACAAAATAAAAATCGGATAGAAATATTGTGGACCCGTTAGGTATAGAAATTACGACCCATGATTATTGGCTAACTGTACTTTAAATAAAACACTTTAACGGTTTAAAACGCGATATTAGTTATTATTAGTTTGTAGTTTGTCATAATATTGGATTTATTCAAGAATTGTAATATTAAAAAAAAATACGAACAAATTTTTGTAAATATTCGTGCTGTATTAAAACTAATGTAATACAATGTTATGAGGTGAGACTTTTCTTCTCGGAAAAAAATTGTAAAACATATTTATTGCATTTTCTTATACGTTCACATTTTAAGCGATAATTTGTTGGTGGGTTATATCGGTTTAAACGATATACGGAAGCGTAGTACCTACAGAATTGAAGAGAATAAAACGCGAATAATATTAACAACAGCTTAAAAAGCGTTCAAAACTTCACGTTTTAAACTGCTTAAAAGTATATTATTTAACACATTACGATTTGGTTGTATCATGATTGAATCGAACCATACAGAATAAAACGCGAAAATATTTATTACATCTCAACGGCATCTAAAAGTTCCCGAATTAAACTGGTGAAAAGTGTTTTATTCAATATAATGACTTTCTTGTACATATGTATGGGTAATGATAAATCTGCGTACAGAATCAAAGAGAATAGAATACGAAAAATATTGACAACAGCTGATTGAAAGCAATCAAAATTTCTCGTTTAAAACTGTATAAATTTGGTTTACTTGACACATTATGATTTGTACAACACAAACGGCATGTTTTCGTAAATAACGCCCTTAAACATTGTCTGTAGTATACGCTAGTAGTAGACAATTAAATATAACACTTCTAACGGTTTAAAACGCGATTTATATTTAAAGTTAGCTAAGCTATTAAAAATGTATTTTAACGATGGCCCGATGTAACGAATGCTTTACAGCAGCCGTCGTCCCTTCGTTTGCTAATCTATTTCGCATTTTTAACCGTTAAATGTGTTTTATTTAACTACATATGTCATCAAAGGAGAATATTTAGAATTACATACGGTTTATTAGTCCAAGCCATCTTTGTTTAATTTAGTTAGAATCTCGAAATTTAGGATGGCTGTCTTTGAATTTGGTAGAATCTTGTAGTTTACAGTCTAAATTGTTTATATCTGTAGTTCAGGTACATTTAATAAAACACAGGAAAAGCACAGACTATATAAATTAAAATCGATTATAAATTGAAAAAAAAAATCGGGCAGGCCTTGAGCCGGCACCCACAGCTACCGTGTTGTAGTTTTTTTTCAATTTTTAATCGATTTTTTATTTATGTAGTGCCATCATGTGCAATAACATGTGAAATATATAAAAGTTTTCAAGCACAGACTATACAATAATAAATTACAAAATGAGTATGATCTGTGGAAATCGAAATGCTAAAATATATCTAAGGAATTATTTCGATAATTCCTTACATATATTTTATAATTTTCTAAAGAAAGTTTCTGTATTGTCTATGCCTTGACTTGTCTTCATGAAGTCTTTGAGGAATCTAGAACAAAAAGTTCGACCTGTCCTGTCGTCTGCCAAACGCATTGGGCCAGCGTCGTAACTTATATATGAGACTGCTAGAGCCAGAGTGGCCTAATAACAAAAAACATAAATTTCAATAAAGAGGAAACATTTTTAGATTATGAAAATATAAATAAGTAACTCAAGTCATAAAATTGCGGTTAGGCTACTCTGCCTCTAGCGGCCTCGTAAACCCTCTTAAGCGTAATAGTAGTTGATTTAGGCTTAAATTGGGTTTAGTCCCAGCTGTGGGACTGTTAGTTATAAGATATAAATAGTATTAGTATAATCTCTGAAGTTCCTGTTGTGACAATACTAGAATGTGATTGTGTAGATGTGTCTATGTACTTAAGTAAAATAAACGAAAAATATCTGCTTTCTGGTTTGATTTTAACTTGGCGTTGCATTGCGTTAATATATACATCAAAAGTGTTTGTTTGTCTGAACGCGCTAACCTCAGGAACTACTGGTTCGAATTGGAAAATTATTTTCGTGTCGGTGGTGTTAGGTGCACCTCTCGCGCAATGTAATTTCAACCTTGTCTTGCTGATCGACTGCTGACACACACATTGATCAGACTTTTGTGATGTTCAAGTTCTCCCCAATCTGCAATGTTGCTATGGATGGTCTCTCAAACTCCTACAATATAAAGACCAGTCTTCAACAAATTTTAACAGAAAACTACAGATGAAGAAAGACGTGAAGTCTAATCGTTTTGTCTGTGGATTGTATACAGCCAAAAAGGGCAGACTGTTTTTCCTTCCATTAAGTTAATCTCAAACTTGTCTATCGTAATAAAAAAGGAAAAGAAACATTAGAGAAGTACTGCCGGGAGTTTACGGGAGGTGCACATATTTAACAATTCAAAACAAGGAATGTATAAGTTACCTTACATTTTGCGTTTGAAACTGTTTTATTTAAAACTAAAGTGAAATTAAATATATGTAAGTATTCTAGTTCTGTTTAATGTTGCCTATTTCATTTTCCAGTTAAAAATAAACAACCAGCGATTAATAAAACATTTATTTCATATTCTCATTTTCACTAAAATTTCAAACAATACAAACTATGGTGGCATGTAGTCATGTGTGGGTTCGACTCCCACGGGGTCCGACACGTTATAAAAGAAATTAAAAAAAAAAAACTATTTACTTTACTACCGTGTCGTGTTTTTTTTTTTCAATAGAGACTTAAATACTGTCTATAATCTATAGTTTACGCGAGTAGTACACATTTAAATAAAACACTTGAACGGTTTAAAACGCGATATATTAGTTAAACTTATTTGGAAATGATGTGTCTCCCCGTGACCACGGCTGCTGCAAAGCATCCGAAACGTCGGGCCGAAGTTAAAATCATTTCCAAATAAGTTTAACTAATATATCGCGTTTTAAACCGTTAAAGTGTTTTATTTAAATCGAGACTTAATTTATATAATGCCATCATGTGAAAAATAACAGTTTTCAAATTTGATTATCTTCTGACACGTTCGTACTATTAGAGCGGCAGCACAGCCCGCTGTGAATGCCGTTCAGTGTCATCGATTCTTTACAATTCAAATAGATATTGTAGTATGCCATCATGTACTAATGCACGTAACAACAATAAAAAAATTATAAAGCCAATATAAGTTCTACAAAGGTAAAACATTGTAGAGTGTAGAAAATTGGGGCATTTAATGGTGGTAGAAACGCGTCGAAATACCGTCCAAGTCATTCACCATCCATACCAGACAATCCTTGAAATCAATCTGAACTTCCCCCTCCCTTGTGGGAATGTTATGTTTGGAAGTAAATATATTATTTATTTATATCATCCCCATTTTCACAGTGTTTCACACGCCGGTGACGCCGCAACGAGCTGTTCGACTTGTAGGTGGCGCCACATTTGCACGAGTAGTCCTGCGACGCGTGCGCAGATGACATGTGATATTCTAGACTCTTCTTATAACCGAACTTCTTGTCGCACACTTGACACTGAAAGGAAGTAGATTATCGTAAAGTAAACTTAACAAATTATAGTATTTTTGAACAATTTATTGCAAATTTATATAGGAACCGTCTCTTTAACGAAATGTTGAAACGTGTTTTAGCGTTACGTTATGCACGTGAGGTACTGGGATCGAATCCCGGGGAAACAATAAATAGATCGATAGGTAAGGCAGGATAAATAGCACGCTTTGGAGTTGTACAAACGTGTTTCCAGGGCTCCCTTAGACCACTGTAGAGGGCCGGTGGTGTGTTTAGTGGTTCTGGTCGGCTATACGATTTACCACAGTCCCCATGACATAATTGCCCGACGAAAATGATAAATAGCAAAGAAGTCTGATCAACTACTTTCATGCCCCACGAGGGGAAATGAAATTTCACTATGTAAGTAATATATATAACTTGGGCCAATGGGCCCAACAATAACAATTAAATAAACATTTGCATTTTATATTACCCACATCGAATAGCTTAATTTCCGAATGGGTCTGCATATGCCCCCTTAGGTTACCGCTTGACGTTGTAGTGTATGAACACTTATCACAACTGTAAGGACGTTCACCTGTGTGTGTCCTGTGGACAAAATAGATAAACAATTATATTTTGTTAAATGGTCTTATTTTATTGTATAGTAATGAATTTTTGACCAAATAGATTTTTTAAGTATAAGCAGTCAAAAACAGGATGTTATGATACATTAATTTTATATTATAACTTTTTTTAGTTCAACTATCTTTTACCATTTATTGATGATTACAATGAGAGAATGATGTTGTTTGTATGAGAGGAGCTGTTTTAGCAACAAAAACAATTAGTTTCTGTAAATTTTAAATCTCTAAAAATACACATTTTAATGTATATATTGGCTAATAATCAAAGGGCTGTATTTATTGATAGTTAGTTTAATGTCATGAATAAAACAGACAGATAAATTTGTGTATATATCTTTACCTTATATGACAATTCAGCGCTGACTTCTGTACTGTTCTGTAGTCACACAGCGGACAGCAGTATTTCTTCAACCCGGTGTGTATAGACTTGTGTTTGTGTAAATAATCTCCACGTGTGAACGCTCGACCACATATCTAAAACCAATGAGATACTACTAAGTACATCGCCCCCTATTCTTCATTTTAGGAAAGAGTTCAGTTTGAGTTGGCGTAGGTCTGAATTATTGCTTGTTTTAGTCTAGAGATAAGTGCACGTGATTGTAGACCACAATGTCTCGGGTACAACTCTTTGGTAGGGTAATCTGTTACTACAGTATTTAAATATAACAGGCTGTAGGCTTAAATCTGAGACCATGTTTCCCTTTGCTAGGGATGGGGTGACCAGTGCTAGGGATGGGTAATGCAGTTTTTGATTTTATGTTCAAGTAGTTCATTAGACTACTATAGTGAATACAATCAAATGTTGTGAACATGTCTTAACATTATGTTGGGCAACAAATTCAACATTGATGTACAGAGGCAGTTTAGACTTTCTTCTTATGCTTATCATTGTGTTTTTATATTTCCAAACTCTTGTACTTACCTCACATATAAACTTGGGTTTATTTATATGTTTTTTAATATGATTAATAAGATTTTCCTGTTTACTAAACACCCTGTTGCAATAATCACACTGAAATATATCTTTCTCTTTTATTTGCACATTGAATTTATGTCTTTTTAGGTGCAATTCAAGAATTCGTCTTCCCGCCAAGACTATTTCACACAATGGGCACTTGTAACCGTTCCTTAGGGCCTGACAATAGTATCTCTCATGGTATATAACACGTTTCCGACTTGAGTAAAACTTATCACAGCCATAACATTTGTATTGGTTGTTTATTATACCATGCAATTGTTCTCTGTGTTTTATGAAATTCTCTGTGGTTATTAAATCAACTAAGCAATATATGCACCAAGTATTTGAACGTTTCCGTTTACGTTTTACGAGTTCAGGGGTAGGGTCCATGTAGTCGGTGTTCGTTGCATCTGAATTCTCATCTTCTACTTCGAATAATATAATATCATCGGTAACACTCGTTTCTGTTTTGATAGGCCTGTCCAATAACTCACAAACCCTTTTGAGCGAGTGTTGAGAGGTTTTCTTGAATTCATAGAACTTGTCAATATAATTTTCACACGATTCGCAGAGCACAACCGGTATATCTTCAGGTAACTCCACGTCGAGACACACCTGTATCTTCTGCTTAACGTCTTCCACGCTTTCAAGCTTCAAGACATTCTTCTTCCAACAAAGTATGCAAACTTGGCCCTGAAGAAGACATTCGTGCAAATCATCGGATTCCTGCTCCCAGATTTGCGACATGATATTTACATGCCTTGAAAAAATTGGTATTAAGAAGAAAAATCCATGTTAAGACAACGATACAAATAACAATGTTTACTTTTTTTTTCTACAGATATTGTCATTTGTCAATCACTTTTGATTTGACACTTGGCAGTACATATCAAGTATAATTAATAAGTAAACATTATATTTTGAAATAAATTAATTTAACTTTTAGATTTATGATCTTTTCTTTTTATGTATGTTTTTAAATAAATTTAAATGTTTTAATGGAATTATGTACTACGTATAATTCAAACAGTTTGGTAAAAAGTTTGAAGTGTTGTTTATCTGTGGGTTCCTATGTTATGTCAGCATCACAACTGACAATTGAATCTAAAGATAGCATGGCCGTCAAACATAACACGGAACGAAGCTAACCTCGCGTGTTTTGCACGTGTTAGTTATTGCTATAGACTACACATTTTTAAACAAGTATTCATAATAAAATCAGTGAAATAAACATTAATTTGTTCTTAAAATTACATAATAAACGCGCTTATAAGTATTGTAATACATTATGACGGAAGTTGCGCAGCCGGGTACCGAGGTGTTTTCGGAGAAGAAAAAGAAGAAAAACAAGGGCAGTGTCACACTAGGCACGTTTCAGAAGATCAATGATTTCAAAATAGAGCCCTCGGAAAGTGTATCAAAGCTCGACACAGCGTTTTGGCCTTTGTTGTTGAAGAACTTTGATCGTCTCAACGTGAGAACTAACCACTACACGCCGCTGCCATTCGGCCATTCGCCACTGAAACGCCCGATCGCGGAGTACGTCAAATCTGGTTTTATAAACGTCGACAAACCCAGCAATCCCAGCTCGCACGAAGTCGTGTCATGGATTAAACGTATTTTGAAGGTGGAGAAAACTGGTCATTCGGGTACCTTGGATCCTAAGGTCACAGGTTGCCTAATAGTCTGTGTCGATAGAGCTACACGTTTAGTCAAATCTCAACAGAATGCCGGAAAGGAGTATGTTGCTGTCTTCAATCTGCATTCTGCAGTCGAGAGTATTAAGAAAGTTACTCAAGGTCTTGAGAAGTTGCGAGGTGCATTATTCCAACGACCACCCTTAATATCTGCTGTGAAACGTCAGCTCCGTGTTCGTACTGTGTACGAGAGTAAACTACTAGACTATGATCAAGAACGAAACATTGGTGTTTTCTGGGTGAGCTGTGAGGCTGGTTCTTATATCCGTACCATGTGTGTACACTTAGGATTAATGCTTGGTGTAGGTGGCCAAATGATAGAGCTAAGGAGAGTGCGTTCTGGCATCCAGGGTGAGAAGGAAGGTATGGTAACCATGCATGATATATTAGATGCTCAGTGGGCGTACGAGAACCATAAAGATGAAACCTACCTCCGAAGAGTAATAAACCCACTAGAAGGATTATTAGTTGCACACAAACGGATTTTTATTAAGGACAGTGCAGTGAATGCTGTATGTTATGGTGCAAAGGTCTTAATTCCTGGTATTCTAAGATACGAAGATGGAATAGAAATTGATCAGGAGATTGTAATTGTTACGACTAAGGGAGAAGCTGTAGCTCTAGCCATTGCCTTAATGACCACATCAACGATTGCCTCATGTGATCATGGTGTGGCAGCTAAATTAAAAAGAGTCATCATGGAAAGAGATACATATCCTCGCAAATGGGGTCTTGGACCGAAAGCATCTCAGAAGAAAATGCTCATCCAACAAGGAAAGTTAGACAAATTTGGCAAACCAAATGAGAACACTCCTAAAGAATGGTTAAACAGTTATGTAAATTACAATAAAAAAGATGAAAATGGCAGCACCGAAATCGAGGATGTGAACAGAAAGAGAACAGCAAGCACAGCTAATGCAGAGAATCCAGACGATTCTACAGAAATAAAAGCAGAGAAGAAGAAGAAGAAAAAGAAAAAAGACCAAGAAGGCGAGGCTGATGCCAATACAACAGTAGATGCGGATACAACAGTTGAAGCAGCAGACGACTCAGTGAGGAAGGAAAAAAAGAAAAAGAAGAAGAAGGACAAAGAACAGGAGCGACAGGATGAGTGATTTAGATTTAACAAATAGGTGTATATGAATGTTTATCTGTGGAATATATTTTTTTTACTATTCTGTGAATATCACTAACGATAATGCCTGATTATTGCTCTGGATGAGAATGCAATGTTTAGATTATGACTTTTAAATATGGCATTCCTTTTGTCACCTCTGATCATGATAACTAGAAATTTTTTTCGTTATCAAAAGTAACCTCATTTTAGGATATAAGTTGGGAAAATCTTTAACCACTAAACTAAGACAGATGTTTATCATTGTGCCAATGAACCTTTTCCCGTATAATTTGTGTATTTTACTTTAAATAGTTCTCGAAATAAAACCATAGGTTTTCTTAGACTTAAGAAATAAGCAAAAATCTATTGTTTATAGTTAATACAGTATGTTTTTAATCTAAGGACATTAAAAGTTACAAACATTTAATCATCTTTTTTATTTTCATTAAATTTGTGAACTTAAATTTATTATCATTTAAAAACTTGGGCTGAACTTTAAAATATAACCCGTGTTCGGCTTTGCTCGTCTGCTAATGGCTATTGTCTACAGCCTTTCATTCATAATCTGTTTAACCATAGATAATAATAGTTATGTCTGTGGTCTGAATTACTAAAATACTGTCTTTGACATTGACATGTAATACGTAATCTGTGCTTTAGCTTGCTTTTGTTGTTTACAGATTGTGAGTTGAGTTAAACAAGAAATTTTCATTTAATTCCGCCACAATGGCAGGTGTTTTATTTGAAGATATATTTAATGTTAAAGACATGGACCCAGAAGGAAAGAAATTCGACCGAGTGAGTCGATTGCATTGCGAATCGGAATCGTTTAAAATGGACCTTATTTTGGATATAAATTCTTGGATCTACCCCATGGAACTCGGTGATAAGTTTCGATTGGTATTAGCAACGACCCTACGGGAGAATGGCTATCCTGATGGTGGTGAATGGAACCCATTAGAAACGGAGGGAAACCGTGCCGACAGTTTTGAATATGTTATGTACGGCAAAGTTTATAGGTTAGTTCACATGTTTTCAATTTATACAAACAATTGCATTAAACATTAGACATTTTTTCAGTAGTTTTGCCACAATAACATTTGTTTAAATACTTATATTTCGAGATCGAATCTTTCATTGGGAATGGATCAAAATATTCCATTTAAAAACTTTAATCTATACTATATATAAAGCTGAAGAGTTTGTTTGTTTGAACGCGGTATTCTTAGGAACTACATGTTCGAATTGAAAAAACCTTTTTGTTTTGGTTAGAGCATTTATCGAGATAGGCTATAGGCTATAAAACATCGCCCTGTGACTGATACAAGCGAAGATACAGCAAGAACTGTGAAAGAATGGGAAAATTAGTCATCATTACGATTCTCGCGGATGAAGTAGCTGGCACAGCTAGTTCAGCTAGAACATTTAGTGCCTGTAATAACAATATTCGGGCCTTGTAAAGCTCAGACTTAAATCGTTTCTATCATTCTTAACCGTGATAAATGACAAAACAGAATTCTAATTAACTACAGACATATCTATATAATCTATCAATAATATTAACACACAACCTTATGTATGTGAATATATGAGATAGAAATCTGGTTTTCCCCACTGCAGAGCATGGGGTGACCACTATTTTCTGTCTATTTCACTAATGGGTTTTATTTACAGGCAACTAGTTGATTAGACTCCTGTACCAGACTGAGACAATTTATTGGTTTCCTGGGTTTTGAACCCAGGACTTCTCACATTGAACTGCCAAGCAACATGTTTATCCATATGGCTACAGACACGGTCATACACCATAGAAATGTCTTAATTTATACAACCTAGTCTAATAAAAAAAATCATAATTTCAGGATAGATGGTGATGAAGCAGGCATGGAACCAGCGTCTCGGTTATCAGCGTATGTCTCCTTTGGTGGTCTCCTCATGAGGTTACAAGGAGACGCAAATAATTTGCATGGCTTTGAAGTCGATCAGCATATGTATCTACTAATGAAGAAGTTAGCTTTCTAGATATAATGAAGTTATAAGATATGGAAAATTTGTAAAGCCAGCTACGTATGTGTAAGATTTTCGGAAAGCACTATTGAACTATCATCAAGGAAGTGAATGGTGTAATCTTTATATGCAAGGCTTTTTATGCAAACAATTGACTTGATAACTTTTCTAAAAATTGGCACAAAGTATTTTCGATTGTTCTACAAGTGACACGAAATGTTTTTTATAAGTAGATTTATCATAAACTTGATGTTAAGATACTTTGTACATAAGATGATAAGGGAATAAAGAAATGTGAAAATGTGTTGTTTTATTGTGAACATTTTATAATATGTCATATTGTCATTTTGAAGGGGCCAAATAAAATGTTACTTTTTATAACGGTGTTACAATAAAGCACACCTGAAAATATAAAAAAAGTAAAAAAAAAACAATATTTACATGCATTTATAAAACACAAAAATAGTTTTAAGTTAATTGTGAACAGCGCTACCTAGTATATAAAAGTATCCTTAAGATACCGTAGAAAATAAGGTTGTTCAGATTATTCTTATATGCAATAGATGACGCTAATATCAATAAAGTAATTTTACATTGCATTACAAGAGATGGCGCTTTACTGAAATTAAATGTCGTGACTATGAAAAAAACTTACTAGTTTCTGATGTGTCATGTTCGGAAACATCAAAATTAAAACAATTTAAGATATAATTAAGGGATAATATAAACTATTTACATAATAAGTAGATATTATGCTCAGCTTTGATAGATTATAATTACATTAGATAATGTACTTAAGTGTAATTTGCAAACACAAAATTATGATAAAGTTTTTCAGTTGTTAATTAAAATACTTTCAATTAAATCGTAAAAAATGTGTAGACTACAGACAGTATTTAAATCGTACAAGTTCAAGACGAACTTTGCTCCATGTTCCGTACCATTACTGTGGTGATATGAAACCTTTTTACTAACAGAAAACGATGAAAAAATTGAATTTCATGTTTTCTATAAATGACAAATCTTTCAAATCAATATTACATATACTTAATTATAACTAAGTTCAAATTTGCTCATAAAACTGTCTATAAAGATTTTGTCATGTTATTTTAATTACTAACGTAAAAACCTGTACTTATTTTTTTATTAAAGTTAATTATGTAATTAACAATATGGTATTTTCATTTTAAATTGCCAAATCTTTCACCAGTTATAGAGATTAAACAAAGTAAAGTCATTTTTAATATACCTACAAGACTGTCTAAAACATTAATTTTATTATTAGTTCTTAGTATTTGCTGTTATAGCAGCACAAAGTCTGTTCAATTTTACGGTATTGTCTGTACCTACTTGACGCGAGTAATACACATAAAAAAAAACACTATTAAACGTTTAAACGCGAAATATATATGTTCTTATTTTTATTTTACGTGACCAAGACTTGGTTGCAAAGCATCCAAAATGTCAGGCCGTAGTTTAAAAATAAAGTAACTAAAAAAATACCGCTAAGTGTTTTATTTTAATGTGTACTATTCGCGTAAACTACAGACATCAGTTAAGTGATTGTAGCTACCTAAATCGGTCGAGGATAATGGATCCTGTTTTTTCGGTGTAGGGTTCCGCCCTGCAAAAGATTGAATTGGATCAATTAACAAACACTGGGAGGTAGGCGACGTCGCCTGCCAAATATAAAACAAAGCCAATATAGAATTCTGTCTTCGCGAAAACGACCCTACTCATTAAAACGGGCACGTGGCGATATTATTTCGAATGGAGCAGATTTTTATTTATTAATACGATGAAAAGTTTAATATTTTCACATGTTATTGCACGTAATGGAGTCCTATACGTCGTTCGTCGTCGGTAGCTCAATTGGTTGGCAACAGCATGGGACGCTGACGATGCCGGTTCAAGTCCTGCTCGAGGCGTATTTTTTTTAATCGTATTTCGATTATTCGATTTTCTAAGATGTCTGTTATTTGTCGCTTTCGTTGGCCTATAATATAGTTATGTAAGTGTGGCTTACAAATGACGCGTATAGGTTCGATGTCCACATTTTTCTACCTATGTAAAAATATAATTATCTAAATACTGTCTATAGTTTACGCGAGTAGTACACATTTAAATAAAACACTTTAACGGTTTAAAACGCGATATATTAGTTAAACTTATTTGGAAATAATTTTTAACTTAATTAGTCTCCCTGTGACCACGGCTGCTGCAAAGCATCCAAAACGTCGGGCCGAAGTTATCTATTAAAAATTGTACATTTATTCTAAATGAAATAAGCGGTCCATTTGTGGTGTAGGTTGTGTAAGCTTTGTGCATGTGAATGAAACGGTTTTAAACCTGTCGCCTAGTCGTAAGCTGTGTCATCGACTCCGTCCGCGTAGAATAACTTTGGGCATCCAAATTTGTTTTTGCAAAACTCGTTTTCATCTTTACAAATTTAAGCATTACTCGCGACGTCGGGCGCGTCCCGTGTTCTTGCGAGTTCATGTAAAAACCTATAGTGTCGCGGGCGTGTTTTGGATCATTTAAAGAGATTTCTTTTTAATTCCAACCAATGAAAATGTAGTTTTTAAGATTAGCGCGAACAAAGAAACAAACGAACTCTTCTGATTCAAATATTAGTGTAGATCCCAGTGAATGTTTCGTTCCCATAAAACGACTGTTGCATGAAATATCACGTAATTTATAGGATAAATTAATTTTATGCTTCGGGTTTTATATTTCTTTGTTTTTTTTTATTCAAATTTTTAGTTCTTTATAAGTTTAGTTTCTCTTAATATATAATATATATAAAGTTTAACCTAATTATTACTTATCTTAGATATTATGCAATACATAGTATGTAGTTTTTAGTTGTAAACTTATTTTAAATTATAATATTAAGCAAGTACTTATTTATTACTTTCATTTCTGTATTTAAATAAAACACTAACGGCTTAAAACATATATTTTAGTTAAACTTGTTTGAAAATTATTTTTTACTACGGCCCGATGTTTCAGCAGCTTTGCAACAGCCGTGGTCACGGGGAGACCGTTAAAGTGTTTTATTTCAATGTGTAATACTCGCGTAGCTTACACGAGTATTACATATTTAATACAGACAGTATTTAATTGCTGTAATTAAAGTTACTAACATTGTTGGCTCACGATATTTTAAGTAATGATATTATAAATAAATAAATATTATTTTCGTAAAACTCATCTCTTAATCAAAATTATGAATAATTTATTTAAACCGAAATACATAAGCAAGTCTATTTGTCTTGTCCGTTTTTGGCCTAGATCGTTATTGAAAATGAGCAATCCCCTTTTAAATTATAAACAAGCCAGAATGTATATCTATGGAGCTACGTAATTCAAAGTTAATCGCGTTTTAAATTACGAATTCACGAATCTATTGGCCGGAGCGTGTCCAATCGCCGCGGAGTGCCGCGGAGGCGGGAAAAGCCAAACGTCAGATGCAAATGACGTTCGCTTTTTAAAAACCGGTTTCCCTCGACGCTCTGTTTTTTTTTTATTTACGGCCAGTTCGCTGCAATAGTTTTAAACCTTTTTTGTTAAGGTGGCAATTGCAGTTTTAAAACTCTTTTCTGTCTTGCGGTATGTTTGATTTATTATTTATTTCACCGTATCTTAGTAGACTCATTTAATTATACTTACTCTTCCCTCTGCCCGTGACTTCGTTCGCGTAGAATAGTTATTATAATAAAGACTAATATTATTATGTTAAGCCGTAAAGAAGACGTAAATGGTATTACGCATTAATTTTGTTCGAATTTAATTACCAAAAAACGGATTTTGTGAGTTACTTTAAAAAAAAACCTGTCATGAAAATTTTTTGAAACTTTTTTTCTTGTTTTCTGAAGCGTTTTCCCCCTTTTTTTAACATTTTTCCAATTTGTCTCTTATAGGTCGTAGTGTGATGTTATATAGCCTTCCTCGATAAATAGTCTATTCTAACTAAAGTATGCATCCATTTAAACTAATAGTTTCTTTAATAAGCACCTTCAAACAAACAAACTCTTTGGATTAAATATTAGTATAATGAAAAAGTATTTATATTAATATTTTTCTCATGTCTGATAGATATACAAATGTAAGTCTTAAATAAAAAAGGTACACAAATTTTGATGTCACACTACCTTATGACTAACGAACGACAATATTTTCGGACACTGTAGCTCAGTGTCATAAAATTTTTCTATTTCGATATTTGTTTTTATTTGAGTATTTTCCAAAATTAGCGTACACGCTAACCTAGACGTTTTTTAGGAATTTGATAAATAATGTAAAAATTACCGACCAAGTTTTATTATTAGTACTGATAGCAAAAAGCAATAACCTACCTACACTACTTTGTTTCAGATCGTTGAAACTGAAAAACTTTTACATAAATGATAATTTATGTGTAATCATAAATTAAACAATCAATCGAACGTTTGAACGGTCTCATTGGTGTAATGGTAGCAATGTAACTAATCAAAGGGTCGTGGATCCAATACCCACCGGGTCCAACATTTTTGAAAATCAAGATCATCAACATTCTGAAACATGTTGAAATTCGTCTGAATTTGGATATTGAATGGGTGGTAGGAATATCGTTTTCACGTCCGGGTCACGAACCAACGCCCACAGATGAAAAAGGCGTCTCGTTTAATCGCGTTTTCGATTCAATATGTGGATTTCCGAATATCTAAAGCCATAGACAAAATATCCAAATATCTAAAGATGTTATATGGCTAGGGTAGGTCACCTACTATCTAGTGAACCACATGCTCGGTCCTCCTTTATCATTTAAAAAATGTTAATATAAATAGCAAATACGCTATCGCACACCTCAGTCAGTCGCCCCCTTCCCCCATAATCCCTCTGGAACGTGGGCGGGACAGATTCAGTGCGGCGCGAACTCGTAATGACAACGCACGCTACAAATTAATTGATACTCTATGGTTCATTATATTGATAGAGCACACTGGCCATTAAAAAAGTTAAGAGGTCACAGACAATTAAAAGAGAATAAATTTAATTTGAGCGCCAATTTTGAATTTCGAATTGTGTTGTGCGGTGTAAAATAATTTAATGTGTATTATGAATATTGTGAAATTAGTGATACATTTTTACAATCGTTAGTGTTGTGTCGAGAAAATGTATGGTGATGTTTTTATTTGGTCGTGCCCTCCACTTATCGGATTCTTATAAGGTAATGTTATAAGTCAAACACACATCGCTGACACTTATAAAGTTTGATGCGATAAATAAAATTACCTACTTTTATTTATTCCACTATTAATAAATAAGATTACTTGCTAAATAACTATTTTTTATTGTTTAAATTAAAATTAAAAAAAAATGTATAGGTTAAGCATACATATTATATTCGGTCTGTGTGTAAGTCTAAAGAAATCATTAAATTTACGTAAGTATTCATGTATACGCGCAAACATATATAGGTATATTATATGAAAAAGAAGGACTTTGATATCTTTCTATATAACTGCCTAAAGTTACCTAAAACAAAATGGCTACTATATCTTTATTTTTTTTTCTCATGATAAAAATACAAACCATATTTGAAATAAATTGGCAGTCCTTTCATATAATTAAGAAAGTTTAGTTAAACATAAAATAATGGTTTATGAATAAATAAAATACTTTCAACGATATAGGTAAAACGCGAAATGTACGAGTTAAACTAATTAGTGCGTGGTTGTTAGTGTTCTTTAAGAGCTATTTAATCATTATTTTTAAAATATCGTTTGGGTATCTTAAACCTGTTCCCGCGACGGAAGCCGTCAAAGTTTTTCCCCTTGGGGCGGCCCATTTTTCCGGTTTATTCGGTTTTATCATATTTCCCCACTGTTCCTTCGCTCTTATTAGTTGCGGCCTGATTTAGCCTAAAGGCTTCCTCAACAAATTCTCTAACTAACACAAAGATAATCAATTCGAACCATAGTTCCTAGGATTAGCAATCAATCAATTGAATCTGAAAATAAGCGCAACCTTGTACACTAGGTACTTTGCTGAAAGCTTTTGCCTTTTAAAATCTACGGAATCATTGTTCGCTACGATTAAATTATGTTTTTAAGTGAAATTCAATTGGTGAATATTTAGATAATGTGAAAAATTTATGGGAAATAATTGTTTTCTTTCTTTCTCATTATAAAGGACATAATCGGGAATAGAATCCCTAGTTTCACGCCCTACTCTCTCACTACCACTTAGCACATTTATCTAAAATAATATCTACATTTTGGACGGTCAGTGATAGCAATGTATGGATAATAATCAACGGGTTATAGCCAACCAACCGGATCCCATATGGTTCTAATCAATTTATAATTTTTCTGAAACATTTTGGATATTGTCTGGATATTAAAAGGGGTGGCAGGAATAACGAAAAAGCCGTGCAGTTTTAATCGCTTTTCTGTTTCAGTCGCCTATTCCGAATATCGAAAGCCAAAATACTTAGGTCGATAACGCATCTTACCTATGATTGAAAATTTTCACACATTAAATTAATTTAAATAAAACACTTTAACGGTTTAAAACGCGATATATTATAAACTATAGATAGTATTTACGCGATATATTAGTTAAACTTATTTGAAAATGATTTCGAATATTTGAACTTCGGCCCGACGTTTCGGATGCTTTGCAGCAGCCGTGGTCACGGGGAGACATTTTTAAATATGTTGAACTAATATATCGCGTTTTAAACTGTTAAAGTGTTTTATTTTAATGTGTACTACACGCGTAAACTATAGACAGTATTTAAATTAAATTAAATTAGAAGAATTAAATAGAGCTACAGCACTGAACGTTGCGGTCTCAAGTCCTGTCCGAGTCGTAAATTTTTTTAACTTGTCGTTTTTAATTGTTATATGTTTGTATTTTGAGCTACGACCCAGTAAAACCCATGCTCTGTCCCAAAAAAAAATCAAATCCACTCTACCATAATCTCGTCAAACAAGAATCCATTGTAATTCAAGATCAATCCAAAATGTTCATTTCGTTTTTCACTTTAAAATTGGAACGCCGCGTCATTGGCTGGGGTGTGAAGGCTCGACGCCGATTGGCCGACGCGAGGGTGGCTGGCGAGACGACGGACCAATGGGGATGCGGGACCAGACGTGCCCTATCTTCCGAAGGGTACCTAGGGATCTGTTTGCGTTGCGTTTTAGCTGTTTGTCAATTTAATTGATGCTTTTTTAAGGTAAGGGTCCCCGAGTGCTTCAATTTTACGCGCGATAAAATTACAGTATTGTGTTTCTAGTGCAAACTTGCGAATGGTGAAAAGGCAGCTGTTCCGGTGTTTAAAAACATTTAGGCTCATCTGAAGGTTGTCCCCGTTAAACTACATTGTAAATAAACTAATATATTTCGCGTTTTAAACCGTTAAAATTTTTTTTAAAAAAAAAGGGGGGGGGGGGGGGGGGGGGGGGGGGGGGGGGGGGGGGGGGGGGGGGGGGGGAAAAAAAAAATAAAAATTTTTTTTTTCCCCCCCCCCCGGGGGGGGGGAAAAGAACCGAAAAGGGGGGGCCTAAGAGTGTTTTATTTAAATCTATACATGTTTTATGATAGAGGAACAGACGAGTTTAATGTTCACTTGATGTTAGGTGTGACAACTTAGCCTATATAACATCTAAACAGTCGACCATCGACCTACTTTTACTTTCGATATTCGGTAATCCACCGACTGAAGCGCGATTAAACTTCACGGCTTTTTCAACTGTGGACGATGCTTCCAGACAGAAATTATATTCTACCACCATAAAAAATAAAAATAAGAAAAACTTCGCGCGAGTAGTAGATACACATTTAGATAAGTTTTGGGCCGCCTCCCCGTGACCACGGCTGCTGCAAAGCATCCGAAACGTCGGGCCGTAGTTAAAACAATTTAACTAATACATATCGCGTTTTAAACCGTCATTTAATTTAAATTATTAGAATTATGTAGGTATATTGGACCCGGTCGAAATCGAACCCGTGATTATTAGCCATACATTAGGATATAAGTACCTACCTTGGGAGACAAGAACAAAATTGCTTATTTGAAAGACAGTACCTACAAGGGAAAAAATGTTACTTTATAGTTCTTTTAACTACTAAACCACTTACTATGAGATAAATAAACACTATTTTAATTTGTACTAATAGGCTGAAGAGTTTGGTTTCTTTGCTTGTTTAAACGCGGTTAAGGAACTATTGGTTCGAATTGAAAAATTATTTTTGTTCGCGACAGTATGTCTATCTTTTAAGATTAACTCACAAGACCCATATCTATTAGAGTTGTATCAAAATAATAACATTTATCCTGCAAACAAAAAACAATGTTTTCCGAATCAGCTAGTATCTAATAAAAGGCAGATAAAACCACGGCGTAAAGGTAGTTTTAAAAAGTATATGGCGGTACTTCGTTCGTAATAAAATTTCAAATGACGCACGATTATTAACGGTCACCATTTAAACAAAGAACAAAAACAATAATTCAAAAATGGAATGTCGAAGGGCGAGCTGCGCGGAACAAAGGTTTGTTTAAAAAAAATTTACAGTCGCAATTCGATACTGTTTTGACTTGGAGTCCTGGCCAACCTTCTTGGTGCTAACGATCTTGGCACAAATCGTATTTATATATAAACGAGTTTCTGTTATCGTCCTATTATCACAGAATTATGGTGAAATCATGTATGCAAGTTGTATACGTTATCTAAAACTGAAGAGTTCGTTTGGACGCGCTAATGTCATACAATTCTAGTCGGAATCGAAAATGTTTTTTTGTGTAGGAATAGACATTATTTATCGGGGGAGGCTCTAGGCTAAAAAAGATCAGACTACGACCTTCTAGAGAAGAAAATGTGGAAAAAACATGAGCAATTACTTATCGTTGAGAGTATCCGTTCAGTGCGCTGCGAAAACAGTTCAAGAAACCAAAATATGTATGAAAGAATGAAACCTCTTTAAATGAACTAACAATCTTTATAAACTTAAGCTTTTACCCACGACGTCGGTCGCGTCCTTTGTCCTTCCTTCGTCCGTCGATATAGCGTTGTGGACTTTTTTTACATCATGTATTGAGGAATCTTTCTTTCGTACATATTTTTTAGGTATCTTGAACCGTTCTCGCCTCGGAAACCCATAATGATGAATGATTTTTCCAATTTTTTCACATTTCTCGCTTGTATTAGCCACAGGGCGATGTTTAATAGCATTTTTCGATAAATTTAACCAACACAAAAATATTTTTTTTTCGTGAGATTAGCGTGTTTAAACATACGAACAAACAAACTCTTCAGTTTTATATATTAGTATAGACACCTAGTACTCAACAAGACTTTTACTCTTACTTTAACAGTTAAAATTGAAAGTAAATCCCACAAGCAGGGTTGGTGTTTGTTTAAAAATTACCACAAATGGCAGCACTCGAGGCTGCGCGTGCGCCGAACAAATACAACGCAAATGCAATAATGCGATGGGATAACGTTAATCTCTGACCGAATTGGTTTAACAGCATTTAGCGGGCTTGTGCAAAAATCGGCGCGTACGTTTAACTGCTACATTGTAGGTTATGACTGTATATTATAGGGATCAACGGGTCGTGGGTGTTATCCCTGTCGGGTTTATAATTTTTCTGACTACTACTAGGTTACAAGGAGTTGATATTTAAATAAAACACTTTACCAGTTTAAAACGCGATATATTAGTTAAACTTGTTGGAGAGTGGAGACACCGTCTCCCCGTGACCATGGCTGCTGCAAAGCATCCGAAACGTCTGGCCTTAGTTAAAAATAATTTTTAAATAAGTTTAACTTATATATCGCGTTTTAAACCGTTAAAGTGTTTTATTTAATTGTGTATTACTCGGCGTAAACTAGAGACAGGAGTTGATATTTTTTTCTCATTATAAATACTCGTTATAATTATATATTTACTCATAACTAATAGTCGAAAGTTCGATTCTCGGGAATGCATCATAATGAAATAAGTATTTATATTTCCACTTGTCGACTTCTATAAGTGAAATTCCCTCAATAGGGCATGGGGCGAACACAAGTCTGTATCGGTTTTCTTTACTGGCACTGGTAGTCGATTAGACTTCCCCTGTTTTGTCGCTGATTCGGACTAAACAAATGCAGGCAACACATCTAAACATTAAGCTACAGCCGGCCCAGTTATATATATTTGAAATGTTGTTTAATTTGTAGTTAGATGACATTCGTTTCATATCTATTGCATAGATCTATACTAATATTAAAGCTGGAGAGTTTGTTTGTTTGCACGCGATAATCTAGGGACTACGGGTTCGAATTGAAAAAATATTTTCGTGGCTATAAAACATCGTCCTGTGACTAAGCTAAGGTGCAGCGAGAAATGTGAAAGAAAATGGGAAAATTATTCAACATTATGAGTTACCGAGGCGTACGCTGATGTATAAAAGAATGATTCCTCTTTAAGGGACGTAAATAAATGATAATTAATAAATAAGATAAATGCGCGATGGTATGTCTTATATCTTTTAAGCGGACTCTTAGCGGACGAAGTCGCTGGCACAGCTTGTTTTATATACACTTAGAGCTAAGTTACAATACTTAATTTGCAATTCTATATTCTATTAAAGAAAAAAATATGATAGTTGGGAGGTGACATCAGCCATTAAACATATACAAAAAACAAAACAAATAAATAAATAATAATATATACAAACATACTATTTTGGCTTTGGATATTCGGAAATTCACAGACTGATACCTAAACGCGATGTAACGTCACGGCTTTTTTGTGGACGGTGGGTTGTGATGCGAGTGGTATATCGATACCACCCATTCAATATTCAGATTTCCAGACAATGTCCAACATGTTTCAGAAAAAATTATAAATTGAAAAGTTTGAAACATGCGGTCCCGGTGGGCATCGAATCCAGAACCCGTTATTATTAGCCATGCACTGTTACCATTACACCAGCGAGCCCGTTTAAGATTCGATTTTTAATTTAAATAATGCCATTAGGCGCAATAACATGAGAAAAATATTTTATGTAAAAAAAATACTGTCTATAGTTTACGCGAGTAGTACACATTTAAATAAAACACTTTAACGGTTTAAAACGCGATATATGCTTTGCAGCAGCCGTGTCTCCCCGTGACCACGGCTGCTGCAAAGCATCCGAAACGTCGGGCCGAAGTTCAAAATGATTTTCAAATAAGTTTAACTAATATATCGCGTTTTAAACCGTTAAAGTGTTTTATTTAAATATTTTGTGTTTTAAACCGTCAAAAATGTTTAATTTAAGAATCCCTTCTATATTACAGGAAGATCGTATAGGGATATAAATGAATAATACTGTAATATCGAGTCTAACGATTCGTTATTCTCGTTATAATAGGCCGGCGGGCGGCAGCTCGGAGCTGATCAATTATGATCTGTGGAGGGGCGAGCGACGCCCAGAGCCACGCCCTTACCTGTAAACGTAACATTGTTATTGTCCTATCGATACCATCTAACAGGATTCGACTGTGCTTCAACGCATTGCAGGTTCAAATCCCGGGAAAAAATATTTTTATTTATATAACTTTATTATTTTCAAACACCACAATTAATAAAAAAAAACATGAATAAAACTTTACGAACTAGCTTATAAATAAAGGGCGGTTATCGCTAAACGGCGATCTCTTCCAGGCAACCAAATGCGAAGGGAAGAAAGTACTAAAGGAGGTGCGCTAGTGAGAGAAAGAAATGTAATAGAAAAAAAATCATCAAGATCTGGAAATTTATTGGATTATTGTACTTAAATACTGTCTGTAGTTAACGAGAGTACTATACATCTCACAGTAACCCGTTGTTACTGTTAGGATGGGCGCTGTCTAACTGATAAACAGTAGGGTTTGGCTGAAAATCAGTGTTGTAGCATAACCGTACACCCTTTTGGCATCACTTTTAATCAAATTTAATTATAAAATTATTTTATTGTAATTAAATTTATATCTACTACCACTATTAATTCATGTACCGAATGAATGCCAAATAGATTTCGTAGGTATTATCATTAGGTACATTTAAATAAAACACTGAAACGATCACCCCGTGACCACGACTGCAGCAAAGCACATAAATCATAGGGCCGCATTTTAAAAATGTTTAACTCACACTTTCACGTTTTAAACCGTTGAGGTGTTTTATTTAAGCATTTGGAAATTCAATTTCAAA